AACAGACTGTCCGTCAGAAGCATCACTAGGAGCTTTTGCTCAGCGGTTAAGCATTTCTTGTTTGGCCTTGTGGCCATGGTGATTTCGTCCTCCCTTCCCAACAAATAACTCAAATAATCCTTTTACCCCAAGGTTCGAGTACAAATCCAGGCCTTACGATCATATTTCGATACGCCCGTCGGGACCTTGGAGGTGATTTCCAACTTATCCCCATTTTTGGTGGCTACCATGTGGTGGTAGAACTCCTTTACCAATTCGGTGTACGCATCACATTTTATATCCAAAACCATCCCCAACATTCCTTGAAACTTAAGCATGTCAATCAATTCTTTAGAGAATTGATCGGGTTCGAGTGCCTTACCCCTCCAACACCATATAATTGGTGTCATTCGATTTCGCTTTTCGGGTGTTAGTGGGCCTCCTCGGCATTGTAGAAATTAGAGGTCATTCTGTAACACCGCGAAATTTTTTTTCAATTTTTAAGGCTTATATAATAAAGGTAGATTCTCATTAAATCCCAAAACATAATATAAAGGAGTACGGGGTGCTATGCCACACCTGAATTAGAGAACTCAGGTGCACAGGCTAACTAACTGATATCCTCAATAATGTAAATACATAAGCATGGCACGTAGGCCGAAAGGGAAACTATCTACTCTACGCTCCAAGTCTCTAGCGCGCTCCAGTGTCAACTCCTATGTGCCTGAACGCCAAATATATCTGTTCAGCGAGAGATGCTGGTAACCCACTCCAACGCGTTGAAATATAGTATATATATATATATATATATATATATATATATATATATATATATATATATATATATATATATATATATATAGATATACAAAAATCATTTCGAAGCAGGAACATATATACTTAAGAGACACTAGTTTTAAAACCAAGAATAGACTCAGCAAATAGGGATAAGCATATCAGACAATAATAATAAAATCATAAGGAATACGCATTTACGGTCACAAGCCACTTCTCAATTCCAATTCACATTATCATCCAATCATCATTCATATCACATAATCATCGATGGCGCCACGGGACCAATCGCATACCCCGAACATGAGGATTAATGCCTTTAGCATTAACACGGCCCCGCAGCACCCTACCTTAACATCGGACCATGATCCGACACACCGCAGACGCGCCCAGTCGGTGGACCGTGATCCCCTTTACAAGGGGGGACTTACGACCCTACACACCGTTGCTGCGCATAATCGGCGGGCCGTAGCGGATCAAGCCCGACACACCGCTGAGCTAAACTCAGTCGGTGGGCAAAGATCCTCGGAGACTACAGTCCTACATACCGATGTCCCACCACTCGGTGGATCGCAGCCAGTCGTAGCCCTAGACACCGCCTGATTACTCAGGTCGGTGGACTACAACCTTCCTTGGCTTGTTGGCCCCATACCGCCTAGCGCATCCCGGTCGGTGGGTCATATCACCGAGGCCCATGTGGACCTTCAATCCTATACATAATCTATATATACCTGACCGGTCTCTACCAGCCTGGTTAACAGTTGGGCTGGTTCTCAACCCATTCAACTGCCCGTATAGTGGACCTCAGTCCTATATTACATTAATATCCCTGACCGATCTTAACCGGCCTGGTTAACAATTGGGATGGTTCTCAGCCCATTCAACTGCCTGTATAGCCCAATTGGTCTTAACCAAGTTGGGGTCATGCATCACGTAACACTCAATAGCACAAAATGACACATTATTCACATAGGGAAGGGGGAACATATAATTAAGCTTACATGTGATCATTCACACACTAAGAATAGTTCCTAAGGGCTCATATAACTTCCACCTAGGTCCACGGGTTACCAATTCAACTATCATGCAATTTCTAAGACTCGTTTAACCTACGAATAGTACCCGAAATTCCAAACTAGACTCAGGCACGACAAACGGGGTCCGTTGGGACACAATGGGGAACGGGGAACATCAAACGGGGAAGCCGGGGACCCGGGGTGGGGTGTGGACCAGCGGGTAACCGGTGGGTGGGGGTCACCCGCCGGCTGCCCGCCGGTGGGCGCTGTTCCGGGCAGCGGGTAGCCGGCTGCCCGCTGCCGGGCAGCGCCCTTCTGGGCAGCGGGTAGGAGGTGGGTTCCCCCACCCCCACCTACCCCCCACTGACTCTTTTCTCCAATATTCGTACCAGGGACCTTTGTGGAACCCGAAACCATGCTTAGACACTTTTAAAAGCAAATAACAACACCACGTGAGCAATTAACGGATCAAAAGCAAGAATCATGTAGGACTTATCCTATTATGACTTCTGAATATAAACAACACCCGAACATGCGAATTCCCTCCCAAATACAAATCGAGAACATCACAATACAAATTCCCAATCCAACCTAGGGCTCCAATCCCACCCAAATCATCAAGAACATATTTAATCAAGAAAATATCACATCATAATCAAGAACTTCTTCTCAACATTAAGATTATCAAGATTATCAAGAAAGCATATAAATCATCTTATCAATCATTAAGAACAGAACATAATTATCATAGAAGCATTCAATCAAGACACAAGAATATAGAGGGAGGCCAAGGAAGGAGATTATAGCGAAGAAAATAGGTTTTATTGAGACATGGGTTAACTCTTAGCCTTAATTAATTTCCCTGGCTATGAAGGGTCTTTCTTTAAGATTCCTTCTTTCTTGATTTCTCCTAAGGGAGTTCTTGGAACTTTCTTGTGTGGTGAGGGATTATTTGTGGTGTGAGTTCTAGGTGCCTTCTATGTCCCTATTTATATAATTAAGAGTCCTAATTATGGTCTAAGTGGCATGGGTTCACTAATCCTATTCCTTATAGGACTAAGGGGTTGGCTTTAGGGATAAGGGCCCATGGACCATGGTGGACCCCCTTTTTGGCCAATTAATGGGTTTTAATTCCCTTTTTAGTGTGGGTGGTAATTTAATTCATTTTAATTTAGGGGCCGTAACACGGGGTGTTACACTCTCCCCCCCGTACAAGAGGCTTCGTCCTCGAAGCTGGTGCGTGGATCCGTTCTTTCACCCCGAGACGTCACGTATTTTGGCCTCCTGGTTAGGAAATGTGGCTCCACGTTTTGTCCTTGTTTGGGGTAGACTGGATTTTTGGTGAGGCGGTGGTTTGGAGGGTTTTGAGTCTACCTTGGTTTCCTGCGCCTGAGTTGGATGCCCCGCGAGTACCCAACATGGCCTCGATGGTTGCCACTGTTTGGTCCAAGGCGTGTGTTGCGCGAATTAGGGATGAGAATCCCTCGTCCATGCACTAGTACAAAATGGAGCAAAGAAATATCACTTTAGGCTACCCTTCTTTAAACAAAGGTAGTATATTATTTTTTAAAAAAAAAGGCAGTGGCATAATTGTAAATAAATCAATAAGAAACCGCTACCCTTTCTAAAAGAAAGGTAGCGGTTTTCCAAAAAAATAAAGACGGAAAGGATATCCGCTGCCCTTCCTTGTAGCAAGGGTAGCGGATAATTATATTAATATTTAATTAATTTAATTATCCGCTCCCCTTTCTAAAAGAAAGGGCCGCGGGAACCATATCTGGAAAAGAAAAAAAATAAATAATAAATAAAAACAAAACCTCAAATCAGGGATTAGCTCTTTCACAACGAAAACCTCACCACAATGCCGCTATGCCTCACCAGATCTTCGCTGTCTCACCTCACCAGATCTCCGCCGTCGACACCGCCTCCCGCCCTCATCTCCCACGACGCCGCTGACACCGCCACTCTCTCACCTCCAGATCTCAGTCGTTCTCTTCTGATCTGAACATTCGACCATACATACCAACACAGATATATCGCCGCCACCGCCGCCGGCCATAAACCTCTCAGATCTGAACCATCGCCGTCGTCAACTCTCGCCGCCGTTCTCATCAAGCCTCGCCATCGCAATCAGTTTCAAATGACGACCTCCATCAAATCTTTGGGTCTTTTGGCGAGATCAAGGAGGTAACAGACTTGTACAGCTATGTTCCTCCATTACTATGCTTATTGTTTGTCTCTACGGTGCGCTATAAGAAGTTGGTTGTGTTTTAAAACAGATCAGGGAAACATCGCACAAGAGGTACCACAAGTTCATCGAGTACTATGATGTTAGGGCTGCGGAAGCTACTCTGAGATCCTTAAATAAGAGTGACATAGCTAGGAAGCGGATAAAGCTTGAACCTAGCTGCCCTGGGGGTTCAAGTCGAAAGTGAGTATACTGGTGTAGTTTGTTTCTTATTTTCAAACTTATCAACATAGATACCAAAACCGTTGCTTTTTATTTATAGCCAACTCATCTATGTTCAATTAATAGCCAATCAAAATGATTACTGGTATTTAGTCTTTTTACTGCTTACTTTTCTTAAGTTTATGATAATTTGGAAATTCTCTTTCATCATAAGCAAAACTGTATACCTAATCTGCTAATCATTATAGGATTTCCTTTGGTGGATGATCAATGAGTCTATGAGTTATTATTGTCCTCAGTTCCATTATATTAATGCTTCTTTATTATTTTCTTAAAATTAATATCAAGGACAACATTGACAATTAGGAAAGATAATTTACTCTTTCATATTAAAGGAAGTGTTACAACAGCACATGTGAGTTGAGTTGCCTTTTTGATAAGCTTTCATTCAAAATCAGTTACTGGAAATACAAAATGGGAAAAGTAGTTAAATAATAAAGTTACATGGGAAAGGTATGGAATTGTTGGGCGAAGGCCGGTGAAGGGCCAAGTCCAGACTAGGTGGCTAGGGGATTGTTGGGCGGAGGCCTGAAGGGCCAAGTCTAGGTGTCCAGCACCCTGCCTCTCGAAAATGTGGCGGTAAGGAAGTAAAGTTGCGCCTTTGCTACAAGCTATAGCTTTTGGTGTAGTGGTAAACGCTTGATCCTAACAGGCATGTTCATTTTGGAAACAAGGGAGATGGTGCTGTTAGGTAAAATCTGACTATTCCTTCCGTAGATGCTTGTTTTATGCCGTTTGATTTCTTGTTTTGATAAATGTTATGCCTTGTTCATTCCGGTCATTCTTCACTGATCTGTGTGCCATTCTTCTGTCTCAAATACAGCTTTGTGTTACAAGTAAATCATGATCTTGAACAAGAAGAATCTCAAAGTTTACCTCACCAATTGAGTTCTTCAATTGGTAATTCTCCAACGGGTAATCTTTTGTTTTTATTGAGCTAGACAGTAACTTGTATGCCCTACTTCAGCTTCTGTTTCTTAGATGATGAATGGCTCACCGCTCACCGTATTGTGACAGGTAACTGGCAACAGTTTGGCAGCGCTGTAGATCATTCTCCCATCCAGAGCCTCGGCAATTCCAATAGTTTTCGATCTGTCAATCCTGCACCTGGCAATAATTTAGCTGGTTTAGCGTCGATTTTGTCTCCTCAAGCATTGAACACTGTGAAGGTTGCACCGATTGGTAAGTTTGAAGGAAGTGCTGGACAAGCAGAACAGCTAATGACTATTTGAAATTCGAAGCACGGTGCTTCCATCCCGCAAACGAATTCTTTTCCAGAGCCAAAACCGAGCCCGTCGTGAACCTTATCTGCAGCCGAACATAAACTCCCAAATCTGTGTATTGTGTTCTTCAGCCGAACCTTGTCTTCTTTATTGCGTCGACGTTTCTTCCCAAAAATGAAACTAAATCAACAAACATTTTTCAAAATCTCCCCATTTCCATTGCTGTTTCTTCTTCATCCGTCGTCGCCTCGCCGACGCCGCCACTAGCCATTTCTAGTGTCCTTTGGAGTTCAGCTGCTGCTGCCCGCCGTCGCCTCCTTTTCCTCTACCACCGCCATTGCCGCCATCTTCAGATCTGTTCCGTCATCACTCATGTTGGTAAGTTTTTTTTTTCCAGGTCTCTTTCGTTCTTCGTTCAGATCTTAGGCACTCTGAAGTTTTGTGGATTTTCCTTTCTTTGATTTCTCTCTACTGCGGTTTTATTTTTCATTTGAGATTTTTAGTAATTTTCTGATCTGGGGTCGGCTGATCTCCATTTGCTAGGCCAAATTTTGAAATCATTTTTTTGGCTCTTTATACAGAAATCTATTCTTGTTCGCTGCGGGTTAAGAGCTTACCTGAAGGATGATGCTGTGAAAATGCATATATTGTTCGTTTTCTGTTTATTCCGTTTTCATAATCTAGCATCTGTATCTTCCAAATATTGGCTGTTAAACTTGTTTTGTCTTGGAATACAGCTTACCGGACGGAATTAGAAATGGCTTAATCATTGAAGTGCATGATTCAAAAGGAGTTTATTGTGGCCGTGCAATAGCCCAGGTAGCTGATATTTGTGATGATCAGCAAATATACAATTGAATTTTTATGATTTTAAAAATAGTTTATTATGTATTTATGATTTTTCTAGAGCTTAGTGTCAACAATTGAATTTTTTGTAATAATATGGTATATGAACACTATATTAATAGCTTGATTGCAGGGAGAGAAGCTTCGTTGGTGGCCCATATACCATGAACCAGAGCATGACCTTGTTGGTTTATAAATTATTCTACCAGTGCAGGTGCGTTAAGTCTTTGATGTAGGCTTTTGTAATTTTCTGTATGATCTTGTGAGTAGTCTTGCCTAAATGTTTCTTTAATTTTTCGTATAATGTGGGACTGTGGAATTTGTAGATTATATTTCTTGTTTGGTGCCTTTCTCCCCTTGTTACTTAACACTAAATTCTATCACAATTGCATTGTTTCTCATTTGTAGGCCAGTAAGGATCAACTTCCTCAATCAGACATAATCAAGCCAGTAAGGATCAACTTTCTCATTGACACACCCATTTTGCTAAACTTTAGTTCTGTATTCATTTATGATCTATGTGATGAATGTAGCATGCTAATCATATTTAAAGATGATGTGCTACATTTCTTCTTTTTATACATGCATATATATTTAAAAGTATAAAGCATCTATTATCATATGCAAATTTATTATTTGTAACTTTTAGTTTTGGCTGCATGCTCATCACTTTGAATAACAAATTATTACATTAGGTAAGTAAATTTAAATAGAATAATTAAATTATATTTTATTAATTAACATATTTAATTAGTAATTTGATTAATTAAATTATTTTGTAGGGAAGGAACTTCGTACTCTACCAATGGAATAGATGGGATTCGAGACTTAATGAGCAAAAGATTTTTTGGAAGAGTATGTGTAACTTTTGTTTTAGATTAAAATGTTATACTGTGTTGATAACTTATTATTGTGTTGAAAGTATTTGATAGATATAAAGTATTGTATTGATAGTATTTGGTTGAGTGTTGATAATATTGTGTTTTGATAGTTTGTTGATAATATTGTTTTTGATAGTTTCTTTGATAATAGTGTTGATGGTTAGTATTATCTTGATTATGTAGTGTATGAATAGGATTTTTATAAAAATTGGGGCATTTAAAAATAAAAAAAATAATAATGAAATTTTCATAAAAAAAAAAAAAAAATCCGCTACCCTTCTTTTGTAAAAAGGGCAGCAGATGCTTAAATAAAATAATAATAAAATAAGAAAATTCGCTACCCTTATATATTCAGAAGGGTAGCAGATATTCAACTTTCTGCTACCCTTGTGAAAGGGTAGCGGAAAGCTCAAGGCTTTCAGCGTCCTCAAATCCGCTACCCTTGTACAAGGGTAGCGGATAACCCTTTACAAGGGTAGCGGAAATGCATATCTGTACTAGTGATGATTTGGTTCTGTCGGGTAAGCTGCGCGAGGATGCGTTCGTTGACTGATTCTTCATTTAGACCCCTTGGGTTTCCCCTTGCTCGCATAGGTGCTGGTGGATTGGGCTCGCTATCCTCTTCTTGTTCCTCATTTTCCCCTGGTTCCCCACAGTCTTGCATTGCCCGCTTGAGTTTCTTGTTGCAGATATTTAGTAGATCAACCAACTCCCTTCGTTACTCTTCGGGCTTAAGGAAAATCTCTTCGAGGGTGATGTATTATCTCCCTTCGGTGTAGTAGATATCATTGCGATGGAGACTCTGAGCATTGAAAGTCATGCCACTTGCGGTTTTGACCTCTGTGCCGCTTAGGTCTACCCCCTTTTTCTCCATGATCCAACTGAGGATCATCCTGTAGGGTAGGCTAAGTCGGTTGCTAGTTTTGCAAAATTCCATGTGTTTCAACATGAGGGCCGGTAGATTGAACTTGATTTTGTGCTTTAAGAGATAGGCAAAAGTACACTCTAGACTTCCTACATCCTTACTTTTATTATTTGTGGGTAACAGGCTGTCAGTCACAATCATAACCAATATCTTTTGTTCTGAGGTTAGCCACTTCCTGTTTGGTCGTGTAGCCGAGGTGAAACCTTCCCCCCTCCGAGTAGGTACCCGAGGTAGTCTTTGTACCCCGTGTTTTGGGTACCAATCCACCCCTTTCGGTCATAGTCTGACACGCCCGTGGTGGTCAATTTTAAGAGCTTGGCCAAGCGGCCTTCGGAAAGTATGATTTCCATGCCTCGGACTTTAGTGGTGATTTCTAGTTTATCACCTCGTTTGATGGCCACCAAATGTTGATAGAATTCCTTCACCAATTCGGGGTACGTATCCCCTTTTATGGCGAGATACGTATCCAAAAGCCCTTGGTGGTTGAGCATGTCTACCAATCCCGGAGAAAATTGATCGGGTTCGAGGGATTTACCTCCGATCACGGTGTAGTCGGCGTTGCTCCATTCCGGGGTGCGCACTCCGAGGGGCTTTTTCGGCATTTTTAGAATTTTCCTTGGGAGAGCGTTTTCTGGCGGACTCCAGCGAGATTCCGGCGGTACGGTTTCGTCAGTGGCGATGGTTCTCAGCGTGGCCTGGCTCGGCGCGGCGGCTGGGGTGTTCGGCGATGTGACGGTGGTTCACGACGGGCTTGGGTGTGCGGCAGTGGTGGGGCGTGGCAGCGGGGAGGGTCCAGGCTGTCGATGGTGGCGTCGCGGGTTGCCTCCGGTGTGGCGACGGCGAGCGTTGTGGACGGCGCCGGTGGCTTGGCTGGTGGTGGCAGTTGGCGGGGTGGCTTGTTGGGGTGCTGGGGTGGTTTGTTGTGTGGCGGCGGAGTGGGTGGGGAAGGAAGAGAGGGAGAGAGATTGTGGGGGAAGAAGGGAATGAGGAAGAAGAAGGGTTTTTGATTTGGGGGTTTTGGGGGTTTTTAGGGACTTGTAGGGGTTTAAGAAAGGAGTGTCCCCTAAAGGTTTTAAGAAGTACTCATGGCTTAGTGGTTAAGGCTTTAACTTGTAGATGAGAGGTCCAAGGTTCCATTCATATTAGTAACATTAGTCTTCCTTGTGGGATATTTCTTTGTATTTTCCCTCTTTTGTCTCCTAGTGGCAGGAGATGTTTGGTGCTTGTCGTCTTGTGGGTAGTCCGGTTTTCTTTTGTTATGCTAATATTGTTCCGAACTAGCTTTTATTTATTATAATTCCGAAGTGACTAGTCTAAACATGCGATTCTACAACGGGGGTGGTTACAAAAAGGGGGGTTTGTTATATTACCCTAAACAAAATTCATCTTCCTAGTTTCCTTCGGGCGGGTTTGCGTGGTCTTCGTCTTCTGGGGTCATATTCCCTTCGTCGGGGTTGCCCTCGTTCTCGAGTTCGTTTGCGTGCGGCTCATGACAAATACTTTTTCGGGGGCACCATAGTTTCCTTAATTGTCCGTGTCCCCGTGTCGGCCCATGGCCATAGGGTGTGAGTTTGAGGAATGCCTTGTGCCCTTCTTTCCCGCAATTGAAGCACCGTAAGGGGTTCCCCATGCAGTCCTTGCCCCTATGGCTTTGGTGGCACCTTGGGCAGGGGAAGCCACCTGTATTAGTTTCGCTGTTTCTTGCGGGCGGCCTCTGCCCTGCTAGATTGCTTGGTCTTGCGTTACCGTCGTTTCTTGTTCTTTTTATGGGTGGCGTCCCACCTCCTGTATTCCTTTTTCGAATCTGTTCCTGAACACTGCGCTGTAGCAGTTGGATTCGGTAGAGATTGGCGGCACTGGAGTAGGCCTCGTTGAGGGTCGGGGGTCCGCTTACTCTTAGGGCTTTTCGGGCTTCGAAGTTGAGGCCCGATACAAATTGCTCTATTTTGGTTGTCTCTGTGGGGACCAGTTTTGGCGCGAAGCATGCCAGTTCGAGGAATCGTTTGTGGTATTCCATGACGGTAGTTGTTCCTTGTTTTAAGTGAAGGAACTCTTCATGCATAGATGCTTTTATGTGGGCTGGGTAGAATCGTTCTCGTAGTCGTGTTTTCAGACTTTCCCAGTTGAATCCTGGTTCTCGTCTGTAAGTGGGTCCCTCGTGGATCCACTAAAGGTCTGCCTCGTGTCCGAAGTAGAATGAGGCTACCTCTACGCGACGTTCCTATGGACATTCTACTAGCCCCAGGATTTTGTCGAAGGTCCGAATCCATTCCTCCAGAATGGCGGGATCTTCTTCTCCTGAGAAAGTGGGTGGTCTGTGGTTTGAAACTTGTCGGGCGATTTTTGAGTTTGCATTTGGTGGAGGTGGCGGTGGTCAGTTATT